ATATATATATATATATATATATATATATATATATATATATATATATACAATATTATATTTTTCTAAATTGCACGTGATGTCCCGGAGCCGAAGTATATTGGTTCTTTTAATTACATCCGTTTTGCAAAAATAAAGAGTATCAATTGTGGCTAAAGTTACAACGAGTACGATTTCGCTTCAATTACGAGGATGCAGATAATTGCTCGCACACGTAAAAGTGCACCGAAACATCTCTCGATGCGCGTGGAAAAAGTTTATCGACTTTGAAAAATAAGCAGTAGCGATGATAACAATAGAAACGTCTATTGTACATCAACGCGGTCGTCAATTACGCGACGGGCAACCATTAATCCCGCGTTACACCGCCATCAATTTCACTCACATTACCGCAAACTTTTTTGCCAATTTCACGATGTACATTGGACATTTCGTTGTATCCCGTGCTGCACACATTAGCGTACGGTTTATTTATTGAATTTATATATATATATGTATATGTTTGTATAAAATTTATATTTATATGTATAAAAAAGCTGGCCCTCAATGTGTTGAATACAGAAATAAATACACAACACGACAATAAAGTCACTTTAGCTCGATTTATGTTTCTCCACTTTGCATTTATCGAATTTAGAATAAAGCTTTTATTTCCAGTTAACTGAAAATGTTTACAACTTCGCGATGTAGTAAAATAGAAGCAAACAAAGGATGAAAATTTATCAAAAAAAGAAAAAAACAAATAATGAAAAAATTAACATCGCGATTCATTCTCTGCTGGATAATATTAGATTGATACTGACACAAACGTTGTAGCAAAGAAACAATCAGTAGTTGCCTCACAATGAGAAATGTACATCAACAATTATCAACAATTTATCAGAATTGAATTTGCGCACTTTATATATACATATAAACTTCGTTAATATTGATTAATATTGAATTTTCTCCGTGTATTGATATATTTAGGAGAAAATTTTATAGTAAATATTACTATGGTGTCGCACTAGCTGCGGACCATCGAGGAATTTCAAGTTAAAATACTATAATTATTGTTTTAAAAACGATAAAATAACGTAATTTTTACCATAAACATAGTAATTTAACTTAAAATTCCTCGATGGTCCGCAGCTAGTGCGACACCATAGTAATATTTACTATAAAATTTTCTCCGTGCATAAATAAAACAATTAATCATTAAAGTCTAACTTGACCGACATATAAAATCCACAAGTAAATTAGAAAATGCCATTTTATGTAAATTTATATATTTTTTTTTCACTTAGCTATCGATTATTTATCGATCTTAAAACATAGTTTTTGTTAGAACAGTAAATTCAACATAATTAAATCGATAATCGATTTAACTTTCTGAAATATTAAGCATTCTTTAAATCACTGTAACAAATTTATTATGAAAAATATCCCAGCTAGGGTTCGAATTAGACTTTTCTTTCTAATCCGTGACGTCTTTACCAACTTGATCACTAAGTTATGTAAATAATCCTAATTTCAAATTATAATGAAAATGAATCAAAGTAGTCCGAAAATGACAATTTTGGCCATATTTATATATCTATTGCAAATTATGTTTTACGTTTTTGCCTAACGGCATCTAAAAATATAATCTTTCCTCTTTAAAATGAAGATTTCCTCTTTAAATCTTTTTCTTCTATCTCTGTTTTCCATGTGCGTTTTTTTTATCGATCTACTAGACTTCAAGATTAGAGAATTCTCGTTATACATTACTAGTTTTTGTAGTAAAATGTGTGTTTATAACCAAAATCCTAATTTTTGAACTATTTTGTGCTATTTTCTTTTAAACTTGATATGACAACAAAATCCTGAAATCAGATTCAGATTCAGTGCATCAAATTATTTCAAAAACCAGTACATATTCTAAAAAAAAAAAAAACATTTTTATAGAGTTACGTAATTATTCTTTTTCTTTTACTTCTTATTATTATTTTCACGCGGAAATTGTTACATTTTTTTCGACCACACTTGTTTCAATAGATAATTTTTCTCGATCTTACGAGAATTCCTCGTTCTAGTTAGATTTCCTTCAAAATCATCCAGAAAATTCAATTCAAGCTCTATTCGCAATTTTTCTATTCGGAAATCCTCGCTTTGCAAGTTCGTTGTGTTTATTCGTCAGAATGGCGAATATATCTCTCTTTCATATGTGTTGCAGGTTGTTCGGCACGAAGTGCGACAAGTGTAGCCAGTGTTTTAGCAAAAATGACTATGTGATGAGAGCGAAAACTAAGATCTATCATGTGGAGTGCTTTCGTTGTTCCGCATGCATGAGGCGGCTCGAGACCGGCGACGAGTTCGCTCTGAGGCAGGACGGCCTCTTCTGTCGGCACGATCACGATGCCCTCGAGGGCGGAAAGCACTGCACCGGAGTTGTCGGTATACCCGGAAGCGAGAATAACAATAACGCCTCCCTGACGAACAACAATCATCATCTACACCCGAACGACGGCTCGATGTCAGGTAAGAGCACAATCGTCGAAGACCGAATTCTTTTTTTCTTCTCTTTTCTCTCCTTTCGCCCGCGATACGTTTCGAATTGCGAAGATATTGGCGATATTGAAAATTATCACCGTCATGAAATCTTATTTTAAGGTTTTTCAGAGAAGCGGAAAGTTCTGAGAGAGACAATACCGCCGCAGTTTCTGAATTTACACGCCGCGTTATCATAAAGTCTACTTTCGTATCGTCTGTTGTTATTTCCGTTCCCCCGTCAGTTATCCTTAATTGCCTTAAATGAACACAGTTATCGAGATTCTACGATTAAATAATCTTCGCGCCTGTGTGAAATGGGGAATCCGGCTTCTGACGTGCGTCATACGACGAGACGTGGGATATATCTGTGGATTATCAAGCACAGTCTATCCATGTTCCCAAAGACCAAATTTGCAAAAGGGCGCGCGCTCGAGGGTAAGCTCAAAGGACTCTCCTATGTTGTGTTAGGCTCACGACGTATAATTAGGTGTTGATAATTGAAGCCGTTAAGACCGTAAAGGCTTGACCACTACCCTCCTACACGTCAGGATTACACGGGCTTAATGTCCTGTAGCCTAGCATAACGCGCGCGTACGTCCCAACCGGTTGGACTGCTACCGAGCGAATTAACTCGACCGTGCGGGAGCCGAAATTCAGACACTAAATCCAGCCGTGTGTAAGATGTAGTACGGGATTGCATCGGCATCGCGGCAGAGCAATTAGGTTTCGAGAGAAGAGGACGATTTGACAAATAATCAATGGGAGTTAATGCCAGAGGCGACTGATATTAACTCTTTTGACACCTCGTGTCGGAAGGCAGTCGCAATTACAACTCGCTAATTTGCCAAATCGGTTAGTGTGCCAATGACAAATGATTAAGTAAACGCCGGCGAAATACTACTACAAACTACTTCAATAAGAAACCACTATACTTGATGTCAAAGAGCACGCTCGATTTTTCTTTCCTGGGATGTAAGAGCCAGAGAAGAAACGAACGAACTTTTTAATGTGATACGTATATAGTAATCGAGATGCGAAAAAAACTGCGACGCGCGCACGATGATCGGCTACCGTTTTCCACGTGAGTTCTCTCTCCACGCTCTTCCCTCACAAAATGCAAAGGACAAACGTCGGCATAATTACCCGATATACTAATTTTCGTGCAAATAACTCGTGTGCGGCAGCGCGACGTGCACACGTCGTCCCGTGTTTGTCATTGCGATTCGTCATTGGAGATCGTCGCGCGTTTCAACGTCGTTCTCTACGCACGAAAAAGTTGGACCACCTTGTGCCGACGGTAGTGGCCCCGACGTGTCTTCGGAACGTTGCCGAGGTGCCAAATGTAACACCACCCTGCCAACTACTGTCGCGCATAACTACGCACGATCTGTTTCCTCTTATTCGTATTTTCTTTATTAGCGCGCCGGGGATATCCCGCGGGACGGGACATCACGAAAACGTGTCGTCAAGTTATTAATAGCCCACGAATTACCGATCAGCTCTAATAAACTGTCCGCTTTCAATCTGCGAGAAATAACGATCGTTCTTGGTATCGCGAGATCTATATAGTAACATTTCACGCGACTCCAATCTTGTTTTATAACGTTAGAATAAAATAGATTTCTTTTTGTAGAGTTTATTTAATACCTGAGATAATTTTTTAAAAATTAAGGTAATTCTAATTTTGTCTTAAATCATTCTTTGTTTTTTTTAATGGGTTCTGTGAATTTATGCCCCGCGATTATATGAACGCTCGCCGCTCTCTAGGCGTTAAGAGGATCAAATTTATTAGGGCACGGATTATTTACGTGTAAAGAAACAAATTTCCGACGTTGTCGTTTGAACACGCACGCCACAAAATAGTCCATATCGATCGATCATTAAAAGTTTAATTAAGAGTATGCTTTTCAAAAGAATTTAATTTCTTGCTGATGTTACACTGTGATGAAATAACTTCCTCCTCAAACTAAGCGCTTCTCTTCGCCGCATACCTCTCATTCTTTCTCCGGAAGGTACTTCCAATCTGTGCGATATGATAGGTATATGATCTTACACGATCGTTTTTCGAAGGTCGAGAGTCTGTTCACTCTTCTTATCGTCGTGCCGCCGTGTCAACGCCGGTTTCATTCTCGCTTATGCCAACCGAGACCGCTATTTGGTTAGGACACAGAAATAGGATTTCGTTTGTTCTCTTGTAGTGTACTCTCGTTGACTTTCTGTCTTCCCGCTGGCGGATCTACTAGATTTCGAACGACACGACACCTAAAGCGTCGACGTTGCCTAGAATACATCGGTGAAATGGTCAAAATTATCGTTGGACATCTAGCTTCCTCTCTGAATGACGTGGAATGATTTTAAATGACTTCTGCTGACTTTATTTCCTCGTTACATCGGGAGGACTTCTTCAACATGCATTCTGTATTACATCTTCGTGTGCGTAACGACAAAAATCGAACCGTTTAGACAGGATACTTAAAATTTCGACTTATTAGACTCTGATAAAATAATTAAAAATTTGATTAAAGTGTATATCATATTTCTCTTTTTTAAAAAGTATATTATTTAATTGGCAACGCTATGGTACATTGACAATCATCTCGATCACGAAACTGTTTGCGTTGATAAAGGATTTACGTTTTACTGCCTTTTCTTTTTTCTTTTAAGTAAATCTCAGGTGTATCTTCGAGGAAAGATTCCACGACTACGAGACGGACGGGCAGATTAAACAACGCAATACTTTTTGACAAAAAAAAAGTGGATAGCCTCTGTCGTCTCTTGCAAATAAAACATTACGCGTTCGCGCGACCGTGGCTCGCGAGTTACGAATGATTCGCGATTAAACGTTCCGCGATTCATTCCAAGGTCGCTCGGCTGATCAAGGAATCGCATGAGCACGGGATCCGCGTTTGCCCATCGACAATATTGTCTCTTGACTGTTGTGTCGAGCGCGCTAGGTCCGCAGGCGATCGTCTCGCGTCGTCGGTACCTTTTGCTTCGCTCCCCGTTGGTCGGCCATGCTGAACCAGTATCCGGATCTCCCATTAGCCGGGCACGACCGTTTTGCAAGACCGGTTGGGAAGATATAGTCGCGGGTCCGGAATCGTATCGCGCGCGTATTCTCTTCTTCCGTACCTCGTGTCCGGGATGTTTCGTCTCGCGAAACGCGACTCTCTCGCGGATAAATCTTCGCCGAGAGGCGGCAACCGCACGCTCGCCCTTTGTAAGTAACCGTCGAGAAAAACGTTAACGAAGAATCCGGAAGAGCTGGCGAGTGCCGAAAGATTTACGACCGCCTTGTATTCCGTGTTTCCCTCCCTTTCTACGATTTCGCAGTTGGAGCGAGTCGCGCGCTTACGTCAGTTTATTGCTACCATAAAAATGACAACATCTCTTCCTTTAAGTCTGCCTATTAGATTAACTAATTAACTTTTGCGGAAAACATTCCGTCGCGTTAATACATCTATTTTTTTCCGCAAACTATTAACACCTACTTACGCAATTGTCACAATAATTCAGATTCGATCAATATTTTTTTCTTATATTATTTATACACGTTACATTCTAGCTTACATTCTATATAGTTTTCTTCAAAAATACATATCTTGCATCCTTTAAAAAACGCGCGTTTTTCAAAATATCCCACAATTTGTTTATATATATAATAATTCATATTTTACATTTGAAACACGTATTCGTTTAGCTCAGCTTGGTGGCCACCGCGAGGGAGAACTTTCGACGTTTATGCTTGCAGATTCCGGATCCGAGAGCGGATCGCATAAGGCGGGCGTCGGTGGCGTTCGCGGTTCCGGTGGCCACAAAAGTGGCGGCGGTTCCGACGGAAAGCCGACGAGGGTACGCACGGTTCTCAACGAGAAGCAGTTGCACACCCTCAGAACCTGCTACGCGGCGAATCCCCGCCCGGACGCCCTAATGAAGGAACAGCTCGTCGAAATGACGGGGCTGAGTCCACGCGTGATCAGGGTGTGGTTCCAGAACAAGAGGTGCAAAGACAAGAAGAAGACGATCGCCATGAAGGCGCAAATGCAGGAGAAGGTAACGAGCTACGACATCCCCTATATCAGCTGAAGCTAAATGTATTAGACTACTACGCATTGAAGATTAAAGATTGCGAATTAGAAATTTGAAATTCAAATAATCAAAACATGAATTAAAATTAATATTATTTGATTGGTCAAATTCTCTAATATCTATTTCGTAATTCTCAATCTCTAATGCGTAATCTGATACGGGCTTAATGAGCTTAATATCATTTTGACGATGAACGCGGTGCTAAATTTAGTGAATTCAATCTACTAAATGTATGATGAATAAATATATTATAACGAATAAACGTGTTAGAATAGACTAGCTTATGCTTCGCGACAGAATTGTTCAGAAATTTACTTTTATAAGAAAAGAAACTGTACTATCGAATTTCTATCGATAGTAACAGTGAAAAGTCGTATTTATTTGACGACCACACTCAGAGAAGACAAAATAGTTCTGACAATTGTAATGTAATAACTCTGAAATTTAAATACCTCCCACTCCCCTCTTTCCAAAACTAATTTTATAAAATTATGAGAACGAAAATAGTACTGAGAAATATGAAGATATAGTTACAGAAACAAATGTGATTTTGGATGTTAACATTGTTTCATCAGTTGTATGTAGCTATAAAATAGTAGTAAAATGACAAAATAACCATAATATTTTATAGTTATGTAAACTTCATACAACACATTATGACAATTATATTCTTTTTGATTAGACAAACATTTTTGTAAAACGAGTCATTGTGCCATACTTTTTGTATCAATAATATATTTGTTGTTAATAAAACTATTTTTTATATTATTATTTTCTTGTATTTTTGTTAATACTAACTGCAGCAAATCGCGTTTATTCGACAACCAAACTTGAAGAAAACAAAATAGTTCTATCAATTATAACTCTAAAATTTAAGTATACTCTTGCAACTAATTTTATAAGATCGTGAGAACGAAAATACTAAGAACTAATCAGAAATAATCACAAAAACAAATGTGATTAACATAGTTTCATTATTTGTAACTGTTAAATAATATAGTGAAATGGTGAAATAACTGAAATATATATTGTTATATAAACTTCATACAATAGATCATGATAATTATATATTCTTTCCGTTTAAAATAAACATTTTATTGAAATCAGTTACATTATGCCATAATGGTACACATTTTGTATCAATAATATAGTTTTTGTTAATAAAAACATTTTACTACTTTTTTGTACTCCACTTTAGCTTATTCATTCACAAATGATTAACATTATTATGTTTCTTTAGTTCATGCAACTTATTCATTTTTCTTACCGCAGCTTCATTGTACATGACCAAAGTGCTATTTTTCTTCAACTTTCTAATTGCTGATGCTACTTTTTTCTCTGAGTGTAAAGTTAAATAAATTCTCAGATTCTTAAGCCTTTCTGTTTGCCATTAGCTTTGCGAGTTATAAATCGGATAAATGAATATACAGTTCTTATTTTAAATGCACACTCCGAATATGTGGAAAAAAAGATATTAAAAAATATATATATTTTAGACAAAAGTTGTTTGGTTTTGAAGGAGAAAGAAGCTATGCCACCTATTTGATCATGGATGTGAAGATCATGTTAAGAAAATCGGAAATTTTCATTTCCAATTACTTTGGAAATTTTTAAACGAGAATCCCTATTTTTTAATTGTATATTCTTGTAATTGATGTCAAAACGTTTTCAAAACGCTAGTTTAACCTCTTAAGTGGTAAAGTCTATCAGGTAAAGTCTGTTGTTAATGTCGATGTATTTCGGAACAGTTCCGTGCTCATTGCACAATTTTATAATATCCCGAAGATCTTCGTTTATTCCTAACAAGTCACAAGTAGTTCATAAGTTTAGTGAAAGATTTTCGTGATGTATTTTTGTATTTTTGTCATTTTAAATCACTATCAAAGAACTTTAAATCTCAGTCAAGTGAAAACTTACCGTTAAGAGCTGTTAGTTTGAGAGTACATGTCACTTTAAATACCTACCTAAACTATCTTAAAAAAAACACGTTATTAAAAAGAAATGTTTTAGAATTTAGATAAAACTTGTTTTTTTTTTATGGTTTAGTCTTTCAGTAGTATGTCATGATTCCAAACCCTCTCTGCTGTATGTGTGAGTGAGTGTTACTGATAAGTATGATAAGTGGGTATTGCTCAATTTTTTTACTCTTAAAAAAATTTTTTTTAATGTTATCCACCGTTCTCGAGACATTTTTAAAAGTCTATTTTGTGAAACTTAGTCACTGCAGACAGTAAAACTTCTCTAGGAATTAATAGCTTCCATGCATTCCTCAATATGAGTTTTTATTTCTATTGGTCACGGGCTTTTCTTTATAAATAATGCTTTTCAAGTAGTCTCACAGAAAAAGAAACGGTGAAGTCTGAATTTCTTGCAGGCCACCTTATCGTGCCATTGCGCCCAATTCACTTATCAGAAAGTCTAACATCAATTCTTAACTCTTCGGACATTGTGTGCTAAAGCTTCGTTATGTTGAAATAATAATCTCTGTAATGTCATTAAAGAAGTATCTTCTAAAAGTTCAGGAAATTTATTTTGTAATAGATTTGCAATTAAATATCTCTCTGTATTTGATTAACTTGATAAAGGACTGTTAATAAAGGTAAGCCCGATAAGAGTCGTTTACAATTCCACGTCAAACATTGGCTGTCCAACGATGCTGTCTATTGATTTCGGAGCCAATATGGATTCTCAATCGATCAATAGTAACAATTGTAATGACTGAGTATCGCATTATTATGAAAAACAAAATTAAAAAAGTTTAGCTGCCTTACAATTTGTCCTAAAGCCCGTGTGCAATATTGCTGCCGCTGTATAAAATCTCTTTCATATAATTCTTGGTGAAAAATAATATAATATAGAAAATATTTAAATAATTTTAAATTCTACGGGCTGTTTTATGAATCAATAATTTTTAATTTTTCTGGTGTTGATTTTTGAATTGATATAAATCACAAACCTATACAACACTTTTATCATTAATTTAATTAACATCGAATTAATTTAACTTTTTTTGATTAACTTGTCGAGTAAACGATTTTTAGTTTATGAATAACTAACTAAATAGTTTGACAATCCGGATGCTATCGATCAAGATATTGTCTATGTACCACCAGCCAAAAATTTGAGACTAATTGGAAATGTCTATTATATGAAATAAAATGAAATAAAACTTGTACACTATAATTTAATACTATCAATATTTAGTGCTTTTATTTAAGAAAATGCATTGTTAGTAATCAGAGAAAGAGTTATTTTTAGTTATTAATTGCATTTGAATTAATTTAAGTCAATCAAGTAATTTGCATTTTTTATTGTTGCGGTTGGCTATAATACAATGACAAAAATACACTCATGCCTCGCACGTAATATTAATAAAAGCATGTAATGTTAATAAAATCAGTTTACATAATGAGGCGCCTCTAGTATATAATACTATTAATAAAATAACTAGCACACGAATAAACGCTGATATAGTATTGTTATAAATAACTTTAAAATAACTAATCCATAATTGCCTCTATACTATTTCTCACAAAATAGGTGTTTAAACTTGCAAAATTCAATGTGCATTTCAAACATGCGTTAATGCATATACTTAACTATCGAAAAGGATATCTAATTATATCAAATTAATGCATAAGAAAAGTTAATACGAAGAAACATTTAGTTGGTAAAACGGACTTTAGGTTTCTCTTAACCGTAAATTCTTCAAAATAACATTTCTTAGATAGTGTGTAGATTTTTTTGACATTTTTTTAGATAGTGTGTCCCTTTTAAGATAATTTAGGTAAGCATTTAAAATAATGTGTATACCTTTAAAACTTGGTAGTTCTTAACTCATTGTCAGTTGAAAAATAAATGGAAATTTAAATGGGACTTAAAACCAGTGTTTTGGAAAGTCTCTCGACGTCAGTTACAGAGATATGCAATAAAAATGTAGATTTCCATTTGAAAATTTCAACCTGTGTCTTTCAAATCAATATCCAGAAACTAATGAATGACATAACTTTTTCCCCCCTTCAAAATCAAACCACATTTGTCTAAAATATTTTTTCGAAAATACCTTTCTTTCTAAATATTCATAGTGGGCATTTAAAATGGATCATCCTGTATAACGAGACGCTGATATTTCGATGAATGATCTAATGGAACCAAGCGCTTTTTATTTCAGGACGGTCGTAAATTGGGCTTCGGCGGCATGCATGGCATACCCATGGTTGCCAGCAGCCCCGTGAGACACGAGAGCCCTATCGGCATGACGCCTCTGGAAGTTCAGGCTTATCAACCACCGTGGAAGGCGCTTTCGGAGTTTGCGCTTCATACGGACTTGGAACGGCTGGATCCCAACGCGCCGTCGTTCCACCATTTGGTGTCCCAGGTAACGCGTTACACTCGAAACGTTTAACTTTTTGTTTCTTTGTGAGATACCGTCGAGAGCGTATAGCCTCGAACGGCGACTTTCGCGAGCATGATTTATCGAATGCGAGAGAATGATTTATATTTGTGGAAAAATGCCAGAAATTTGTCTTTACTCGGAAATTCGAGCTCAATTATTGGAATAATTGCAGATGCACGGCTACGACTTGCACGGAGGACCACCGGCGCAATTGGGACCCCCGCCGGGGATGCTCGGCGGACCGATGAGCGACGGTGGGGGCGGGCCGTTACCGCCCCCGGGGCCTCATCATCCAGGTGGCGGACCGGACATGGGCCAGCATCCCGACAGCACCGACAGCTACGTGACCTACGTCGAGAGTGACAGTGACTCGTTTCACCACGATACGGGAAGTCCATAGTGTCGTGCGAGTCATGAACGCAAAACTACCACGCCCCTGTCGTCCTTCGCTTTCGTAGCGACCCTCGTCGTGGTGCTCGCCATAACGGCGAGATGCTTGCAACGGAGGATATGAAGCGGCCACGGAGTCGTGGAATACACCGTGATACACAGATGTAGGAGGGACAACACAGATACCAAAGGGCTGCGCCGTCTCATCGATCTTTCGACGATAATCAAACGGACTCGTACCGCTCTGCTACCAAAAACGGGTCGGAAACGACCATGATGAACACGCTGAAAATGACACGAGTGATGGAGGAAAGAAAGGGGGAGAGGGGGCAACTGTCTTGGACGTACATAAATAATGCATTTTCGCTTCAATTCTAAAACGATTTCTTTGAAATGTTACAGAGGAACGTTTACGAGAACAACCGTCTAATCATTAAGCATTACAGAAGTTTTTCGAGAATCTTGAAAAGTTTGAAGAACCTTAACATCCTGTATGTCGATCAGCTTATTGATATATGAAAACCAGATTCTGGTCAGACCGCGAGCGTTATGTTATTTCGATTCCCACACTGAGAAAAAAAAATCGTTGATTCAAAGAAATATTATTTGATTTAACTAAATGCAGCGGTCACGGGCTGTCAAGCTAACATTTGTTAATTCAAAAAATATTATATTGAAATAAATTCAGAATTTCTTAATATTACTCACGTATATTTGATTTAAATATATTAATATTTGCATTAAACAAATCACTACAACTAAACGAGTTTAGTCAAATTAACGACATTTTTTTCTCAGTGCAACATTTTGGCTTCTGATAAAACCTGACGTTTCTGCGTGTCATTATATCGTTTTGCGTTACGTTATTACAGTGGAAATTCGCTGCCTGTGTAAAATTATAATATCAATTTCGCTGGAGATTTGTAAACGGCTTGTACGCATGTGTCGTTAACTGCCTGTATATAAAAGACGGAGGATGCGATTCGCGATATCCAGTGCTGAAGATACACTGTACCTGTACATAGTTGCTACTTGCTGTAAATCTAAGCAATGTTAAATCACGATGTACTCAGGCGCAAATTGTACCGTAGAATACGAATAACGGAATATATGCAGGGTGTGTATCGTAATATGTGGAATACACTTCAGGGACAAATTCAGAATATAAATAACAAAAGAAGTTCATATAAACGTATGTCCGAAATCGCCTTGTTCCACTTGTGTTTATGTATAGCCATTTTTGTACTTTTATATAAATCCGGATAGCCAAATGTTGAGAACAAATTTTGAAAGTATCTACCACCAAATTTTGTCCATAAGATGCCAGCAGAAATGTAACTGACTGCAAAATTGAGCAGAATCTGTCGTTTTCGTTAAACCATTTAAACGATTATATGCCATTTAAATGTTTACGAAATGACAGATCAGACAGATTCCGTTAGATTTCTGTCGAAGCATAAAATGATAAGTAATAATCGAGTGGATTTAGGTCCGGAGAGCGAAGAGGTCAGGCAATCGATCCAGCACGATCAATCCCATTTATTGGAGAATCGATTATTCAAAAGGTTTCTTGCAGTTCGATTAAAGTATAGCGAAGCAAGAAATAAAAATATCTATAACTTCGAAACAAATTTCCGATATTGGACACATAAATTTTGGATTTGTATAAATTTTTTTCGTTCTTTTAGGATCCTGAATTCGTGCCTAAAGTGTGTGCTACATATTATGACACACCCTTGTATATATACAGATATATGTAGGCACACTAAATTTACATTGATAATTGCATTATTCCAGTTATGTTAAGTTTCGTAACGGCAGAGATATACTCGCAAAAGGATTGCAAATGCCATATAGTGTTTTATTTAAGCATTTTCGGCGACAAAGTTGCCGTTATCGTCGTTGATATTCTGTGTTATCTCTCAAGTTTGTATGGATGGCGACTTTTTGTATTTGTATGACGCGCACGCCTTGGTTTGTTAAGAGATGGATTACGCTTAGTTACCGAAGAAGCACAAGGGAGCGGTGCTCCTTCGTTTATATTGGATATAAAGAAAATTACATTTCAATAAATCGTGCAATCGATATCGCCTAGTAAGGAGCGAGCCAATTAAGAAAAAAGATTAACAGGGGATCGAATCAATTATATATAATATAATATTAATTATTATAATATATATAAATTCATCCAAATGATATTTTTATCAGAAATTCATCTAACTTCTATTATATATATTATATGTAATATGTATATTATATGTTCTATACTTGGCGACAAAAATTAGAAAAACTGATCTAATTTTTAATACATTTAAATATATATAGAAATTTATGTAATTTCTGATATATGTATATGTGTATATTAGAAATTAGATGTGCATTTCTAATCTTTGAAACAACAAATCCAGATCCCTAAATTTGCTTTTATTTTCTTTCTACTTTTAAGCATTTTGCGCGAATCGGAAGAGTTAAAAATCATGTAAAAAATTTCGAAGATTAGGTTTTAAATTTCGAAGACTAAGTCTTGAATCTTATAAAGAAATACATTTATGTAAATCCGTTTTACAAGCCAGATCTTTACGTCAAAGCGTATTTTAATGATTTAATTTTAATGGCTCACGCATACACTTAAAATGTTAAACAGGCAACCTGTTCAACTTTTGCACGAAACGACTACAAAGGGTGTCGTCGAACACAACGGATAGTTTTTGGAAATTTTCGGAAATGTTCCCAGTTTCAGTTTCTCGCAACATTGAATGTAGCGACCGTTTTTCAAGATTTTGCGCTCTGTCTAAAAACTAAATGACTCAAATGTGGTCCATCGCACATTACTTTCACAAGCTTTTCTCTAGCCGCGCGTTTCAGAAATGTTTATAGTTAACCAAGTAGAACAAGTGGCCTGTTCTTTTTACCTGAACTTCTTACACGGTTCACGTTGGAGAGAAAAAATGAATCGTGCAAGAAGTTCAGCTAAAAAGAACAAGCTTTATAAGTCATGATGCCGTTAAAATGGTGTCAAAATGGTTTTAAAATGATTATTAAAAAATCATTTTAACGCTACTTCAACGTCACCTTAACAACGTCATCATGACCCCTTCTGCTCGGACACATAACACTGATTATTGATTAGCTATTTATTAGAAGAAGCAGCGATGAAAATTTATCGCACACCACAGTATGCGTGACCAAGCCTTTCCGAATATAGGACTGTTGTACACCGCTCTCTTGTACGTACATGGTTTAAAAAAAAAAAAAAAAAAAAAAAGAAGCAAGAGAAAAAGAAAGATGTAAATCTGATATTTCGTAATTCGTTCAAGCATCTTCGAATTTGTATAATATTTCTATACTGGCACAATGTATGTAATAAACTGTCGAACAAAAGCATCTTGACAAGGTTTCCTTATTCCGAATGCTTTATAGTTATTTTCACGAAACATACATTTCGCTAGCTTCTCATTCAGAAATTTTTGAGAGGCTTATTAATTATTTATCCTTAAATATCTAAACAAGGTGATAATAATTTGTAGGAACGCGTTTTTGCAAAACTGTGAAGTTCTAATTAGAAAGTTAGTGGCTCTATATATGATAACAAAAGTTATTACAATGATTTGTTAAATGATTCTAATCTTGATCTCAATCTCATTTTTATTGTTTAATATTAATTTTGAAAGGAAATAAAATTTATATAGAACGTTGAAGAAAAATAATTTAAAATTTGAAAGTTTTTAGTGCTTACCAAACCGAATAATTTATCAAAAGAGGAAGCTTAGAAAAAAGCTGATTTATAGACCTAAATATATAACTAAACATTTATATAACTAAATGTTTATATAACTAAACATTTTTTTCGTGAGCAATCATGTAATATACATGTATTTGGCGATAAAGAAAGGTCAGAGGAACGAGCAAGTGAGGATGTAATTTAGTTTCGATATACTTTTATTCATAAAAACTAGAACGTTTCGTACCAGTGCGTTCCGGCAAATGTATAAACAGCGATATAAAGCGAAATATTGTCAACATATTATATGTATGTTATATCTGGTTTCTGATATGGTCTCTTTATGATCATATATATGGCTTTTATTTAATTTCACTACATTTATTCTTGTATTTTTATCACTTAACTTATATAACTTAATTATTCTTCCGTGTTATTATTCTATTTTTGTAATCTAATTCTGTAAATCTAATTGTTCACTTTTCTCGTACTATAAGCTAAAGACTCCATAAATACGAAACGTTCCATATTATTTATGATTCAATTATATGAAAATTAAATTATTATATTCTCACTTGCCAGTTCTTTTGGCCATTGACCTTTCGCCATTGCTTTGCATAAAATGAGCTTGACTTATATATAAAATCTTTGATACATATATATTTACATACTTGGTGACGATCGTGCATCTGTTGCATCTCGCAAAAACCGTCGATCGGCTAACGAACCCGCGGATGAGGATTGCTGATACCTGTCAGGGTCTTCCACGTCGATTTTGTGGAACTCAGAATGACCGTCATCGACTGTCTCTGCGCGTAATATGACGCTCAACTACGATCGCACGGAGTCACTTCGAAATTCGCGAGCGAGATATACGTATCGCGGTAACGAGTGCACGATAGTGAAGTACGACACAACGAACGCGTTCGACGCAGGAGAGACACTCTTAATTCTTGTGCGCGAGACGCGTTGCTTTAGAAATCGCGAGAAACAACTTGAACACCGTTCGGCGCGGCGCGTTCTACGGCACGGCCGAGCGGGCCCGGGGCCGAGTGCGAATCGAAAACCTAGCGAGAATCGCAATCTCGAGATTGTCGATAGTCGCGACTGTAGCGCCGCGTGGCGTTCTGGCGATGAACCAAGGACCGAAAACTAATTTACATTTATTTACGCTTTCTTTAGTTGGCTCTGATGCATTTCGGTGTGCGTTGAATTTTTGTGGGAGATTTTTCGGGATTGTTTTCCTCGATTGTTAGTGAAGATAATCGTAAATATGGATAACGAGAAGAGTACTATGATCGCTGTTTTGCAGCTTTTGAAGAAGTATAATTTTAAGGTAAGTCAGAAGACGCTCGTTTACTTCCAGATCCAGACGCGCATCCTAACCTACGTTTTTCGATGTTATTGTGTGGGTTGACGGCACGTTAAATATTTCAAAGAAAAAAAAATGTTACTGTGTGAGAAATGTAAAGTTCGTTTTTTTTATCGCTGCATTAGAACTTCTCTTCTCGTTTTCGCCAAATTTCAATATTTATTTCACTTCGAGTACGCTAGTTCAGGTATTAAACATAGACCTCTAATATACAGATTTATACAAACACGTGATTGAAAACAAATACTATGTAATACTTGTTGCTTGATATTTTTAGGGAACCGAGGAATTGTTTAGAAAGGAAGCTAATCTCACCGATGTCTCGATTGACGACGCGCAGCAATCTGATTCCGATGTGACCAGCGTCCTTTCAGCTTACAAGAGCGAGGGAGATCCTGCGCAATATGAGAAAGCATACAGTGAATTGAAAAAGTTTGTGGAAGGAGCTTTGGACATTTATAAGGTAAGCCAACGCTACTGTTGACACATGCAAGCAAGTATTTCGTGTCAAGCATGACAATATAGGCTACGGTCAACGTGACGCTACAAATGCTTTGGAGCGTTCTTCTTCTCTTTCTTTCTTCATTGAAAGAAAAGAGAAGAGGAATGCTTCGAAGCATTTGTAGCGTCACGTTGACCATAACCACAGATATATGTATATATATACATATAACTTTATTATATTTATTTTATATAATGTTCTATAAAATAATGATTTATATTTATTAATATATGTATATAATGATAGCACGAGTTGGGAACCATATTGTATCCAGTTTTGGTGCACATGTATTTGGAATTGGTTTATAATAATCATTCCAAAGAGGCGAAGCAACTCATGGAGAAGTTCAGTGGGAACTTAGAAGAGTATTATCAGGATGACTTGAAGAGATTGTCCAATGTAACAAAACGAGAGCAAATGGCAGGGAATGAATTAACTGACACTTTTAAGTAAGCATTGAAACGAGCGATATGATCAACCTTGTGATTTAAACATATTATCTAACCATCTACTTTGCAGATCTAATCAGTTTATAATTAGAATGTCGAGGGATACCCTTTCGATACTAAAACGACATTTGCAAGAAAAGAAATATAGCGTTTTACTAAACATCATACAGGAGCATCTTTACTTTGATATGTACGAGGGCGTTGCTCGCAATAAACAACAGATAGAAGCAACGTCTGGAGCTCTGGTGGGAGAGGCTACCAGGCAAGGTAATGAAATGGTTTCATATCTCTTAGAGAAGAGTTATTCTTTATTTTTGTTTTATCGAAAAAAAAATGTCTGTTAACAAAATTGTTGAAATGTAGATAACAAGGCCAAAGTATTTTATGGACTTCTAAAGGAACCTGATATTCAGCCACCTGCCGAAGAGGAGGAAAAGTGTGATGACACAGGTGGTGGAGATGGAGACAAGCCGAAGAAGAAAAAAGTAAAGAAGGATCCTTTGTTTTCAAAGAAGACAAAATCTGACCCGAATGCACCACCAGTGGGCAGAATGCCGTTGCCTAATCTGTAAGATAGATATACCTTTAATGATCTTTTAACTTGCTTCTGTCGATTTCTATCTTAAAGAATCAACAGGACGTTGCTTTTGTCTTTCACGCAATTTTTATCTTTTCAATTTAGGAAAGATGCGGATAAACTGGAAAAAATTAAGGCACTGAGGGAAGCATCAAAGAGAGTTGTTCTTGGACCTGACACATTACCATCTATATGTTTTTATACAATGTTGAACACTACTTATACGTAAGTATACGAAATGAAATTTTTTTCTTCAATATATTTCTATGTATAGCCCTAAGATATTTCTTACAAATCTTCTTTCGTAATATTTAGTATAACGGCGGCGGAAATAGCAGAAGACTCAAGTTTATTAGCTACCGGATTTAGTGATTCTGGCATAAAAGTATGGAGTCTACTTCCACAAAAACTGAGGATGATGAAAACGGGCGAACAATTACAGGATATTACTAGAGAAGCAGGTAGCGCATAAAATCAAGATAGAGGTCAACTTTCTTGAGTTACATTGTTCTGAAATGCATATTATATATCTGTGAAAAACTTTACAGAGGACGTATTGGTTAGAATGATGGATGAACGAACATCTGAAACTGTGAGACATCTCTATGGCCATAGTGGACCAATTTACAGTCTTTCATTTAGTCCAGATAGAAATCTACTGCTTTCATCATCGGAGGATACTACAAGTAAGACTTATATTACTTAATGTTTTTTTATTCAATATATATATATATATATATATGAATTTAAGTAATTAATTAAATAATGATATACAGTTGTAATTTTAATGTGCAAAAGAATATTTCTCTTAATGTCTAATATTAATAGACATAATAAAATATAATGAAAATTAGTGTAATTATTAATGTAATATTTAGTACACTAAATTAAATTAATATACTTATTAATGTGATAAAACATTTTATTTATATAATAAAAAAAATGATATAATTTTAGTATACTAATTGGTATAATAATTTTGATTGTTCAGTAAGGCTATGGTCACTGCACACATGGACATGCGTCGTCTGTTACAAAGGTCATCTATTTCCCGTATGGTGTGTAAGATTCTCACCTCATGGTTATTACTTTGCAAGCGCATCGAATGACAAAACTGCCAGATTATGGGCGACTGATTCTCACCAGCCATTACGAATATTTGCTGGCCATTATTCAGATGTTGATGTGAGTTAACATTTTCTGGCACTAATTTATTTGTTTAACCATTAGACAATCAACTGTTATTCCATTATTTTTATAGGTAATTCAATTTCATCCAAATTCGAATTATGTTGCAAGCGGTTCAAGCGACATGACTGTAAGATTATGGGATTGTGTAACTGGCAGTCAAGTCCGATTGATGACTGGGCATAAAGAACCGATTTTTTCTTTAGCTTTCTCAATAGAGGGTCGATTTTTAGCTTCAGCCGGTGCGGATCATCGTGTCCTCATGTGGGATTTAGCACACGGCCACCTTGTCGCTGCCTTATCCGGCCACACGGCTAATATTCACTGTCTATCGTTTAGTCGAGATGGCAATATTCTAGTCTCAGGTATTTGCATCATTCCCCATACATTTATGCAGATTAAATGATTTAAAAAATATATCAAGCGATAAAATCGATTGTATCTCGTTTTGTCAGGTTCCTTAGATTACACACTGAAATTATGGGACTTCACAAAGTTAGCGGAAGAGATGAGCTTGGAAGATGTCAATGTTTCGCACAATCCAGATGTAAAAACTAACTCGGAATCTTATCTACTGCGTACCTTTCCGACGAAAAATACGTCTGTCCTGGCGCTACATTTTTCACGTAGAAATTTACTGCTAGGCGTCGGCATGTTCGACTCGGGATAACCCATGGCTTGGAGAGAGAGATTTACCATTTTATATACTTATTTATAGAATTTAAATTTCTATATAAAGAGATTGAATCATTAAAATGTATCATAAAAGTTATCAATAAATTTTTCACAATTATTATCCCTACTGTTAATAAATATAACACATTCAATTTCCCTTGGCGCGGTAATGAAAAGCGGTAAAGTTCGATAGAAGTTTTACTGAAATATTGACAGTCTCTGAAATCAGTTTATTCTTTTATTGTAGCTAATATTGCTTTCGATAAGCGTATCAAATGAAATGTTCTGCAAATTAAAGTCCGAGTAAGAGGCAAACCGAATGAAACGATCGCATCGCGATCGATAATTCGCGCGAATTTGTAACTCGTGCGATAGTGAGCGGGTGCGATAACGAGCGGGTGAATGGGTGAACGGCGGTAATACTGCGGTAGCTCGATCAGCTCGATGCCGATCTTGCGGTAATAAGTAATAAGCGCCGGTCAGTGCGTCAGTTGCGGTGACGCGGTGACGGTGTGATATATACCACACGCGCGCACACCGAGAGTCGAGAGACCGGTCGAGGCAAAAAAGCCATTGACGGAAGAAGGCAGGTAGGAGGGAAATGAGATGCCCGAGCGCGAACGAAAGTAAGTAGGCGGTCCTCCGGCGTTCCGGTTTTCACCTGGGCGTTGTCGCCGTCGGCACCGTCGCGTTTTCACTCTCGCTTTCGACGATGGACGATAACAACGCGGCGAGGTTAGGTAAGTGCGGCGTTCGTATTTATTATCCCAAGTCGGGACGCATGTTTCCATACTTTTGGAGATATTTCCTTTTTCTTGAACGGGCTCTCCCTTAAATTCTGCATACTTGCAGCTGCAGACAGCTACGAAATGGTCAAGGCCCTTTACGACTTCAAGGCCACGTTTGCCAAGACTCTCAGCTTCCGGGAGGGTGAATTTTTTATCCTGCTGCAGCGTAATGTCAAGCAGAAAAACTGGTGGCAAGTTGTAAACAGAGGGGGACGTCTAGGCTACATACCATCCAACTATATTACCTCCGTAAAGGTATGTGAGATTTGTTCGAAAGACATGTACGAACATTTGTATTGTTAATTGTGATCTCACAGGCGCAGCCCCAGTTTCTGATTGACTTTTTGGAAGACTGTATACTGACTTTGGAAACGGAAATTAAGAAAGACGGCGACTCGGTGCAACCCGACAAACAGGATCTCTTAGCGAAGCTAGTAGAAAGGAAGAAACAAGTCGAATTGATCAAAAAGTCTAAAAGACAAGCGCCTAAACCACCAGAATTAGATTGCGGCATTGTTCCTAAAGAAACACATTCCGTGACTGCTTGCGACAATACAGAAGCGGATGTTAGATCGGCGCCAAGCAATGCTTCTTACGCAACGGCACAGACGACCCTTCGCGGCAATAACACGGATCACGTTGAAACAAACGTGCAATGTCAACGGCCAAACGGGGACGAGCAACGTGTGCAATCGCTTCCTCGTCAGTCGTCTTCGGACATTGTGCAGAAAATCCAGTTACCACCGATTACGGAAGTTCGTAAAAGCTCCTCCCAGGGTAGCATACAAAATGTATCCAGCAGCTCGTCAATTAAAAGCAATTCGCCCGCTAAGACCAGCTCGCCGACTAAGAGCAATTCCTTGCAAGCCATTAATTCGCGAAGCGCTTACCAACTACTCGATCAAGTACGCAAAAATACTCAACTTAGTCATGAAATGTCAAAAGTAGCAGTCACAGTCGTAGTGTCTAGCCTGCGGCAGTTGCTGCCAGAAACTGTAAGTCATTATCTCGATGCTTTGCTGCATCAGCTACAAACACCGTTGACCGTGTCAAAAATGAGTATAGAAGAAACTTACGATGCTAATAGGTTGAAAATTATTTTTACTGAATTGACTTCGTGCAAGGAAGATTCACAGCAAAGAAGTTGGATGCTTTACGAAGATGAATCCATAATCGTGGAATACATCAAAGAATTGACTGAAATATTGGTAGGTATATTTTTGTATTAAACGGAGCAACTTGTATTGTATCAATATCACGTGCTTGGTATTAAATTTGACTTTTAATATTATAGCCTCTCTTCAATTAAAATTTTTCCAAAATTTATGTCGGTAAACGCATTTAAAAATGTATGATTGTCTACTTTTCTAGTTTCATGTTATACATTAAATATGCACAATATGATTGTTAATACTAAAAATGTGGTATAAATATAATTCACTTAGTTTTACTTATTATTAAATAATTAATATTTGTACATATATCTTTTTTTTTTTCAGACTAATGCTGATGTAAATGTGTCGAGATATGTTTTAAGGCAAGATCGATACAATGGCGTAACAATATTGGTACAATATTATCAGATGGAGACGAGGTGGACCATTAGACAACTGTTGCTGCAATCATTTGGCGTTATGTGCAGTTTAGATCCAGTGGTTCTAACTATAATGTTAAATAGTATTTTACCAATGGAACTAGCGAGGTATTCAAGACATATTTAATATATAATAAAGCATACAATATTTAAATAATAATAAAAATTCTTGTTGCAGAGATATGAAGAGTAATCCCAGGAATGTATTAAGATTAAATTATTCTTCGTTACTGCTTACAATGATTTTTTCAATGGGCGAACCCATGCCAGTTACGCATTTAGGTGGATAAAATAGATCGTACACAATATCATTACTAAAAATAGAAAATAAAATATTTATCATTGTTATTTTGTTACAGAACAGCTTGGTACAGACTTTATATCATTCCTACTGGACCTAATAGAAACACCACCTGATACGGATCTAGAAGATCAAATCCCGGACTTGTTTATAAACTTGATATTATCCTACAACTTGCAATTTACAACGTCTGAGAATATTGTTCTAAACGCCTTACGTGAGCGAACTGTAGCTAAAACTTTCACTGAAAAAATCTTATTTCTTTTCAACAGAGAAGGTAAATTTTATGCAATATTGTATATGATGCATACACTGCCAAGCAAAAGTTTGAGACTATTAATTGAAAATTGTCTACTCTAAGAAATGAAATCGAACTTGTGCGTTATAATTTAACATATTTTTATTATTTTATTCATTGTTTTATAATAAAATGAAAAATAATGGAAAATGTTTAAAAGTTCTACAAAAAATATCTTACAAGATGAAAAAAATATTAGATACTTTTTTGTCAAAGTAGCCACTCTTATATTCAATCACTTTTTTTTTACTAAGTAATCTAACTACAGATTTATTTATTTTTTCCCGACAGAAGACTCTTTTACTCATCTAAAATAATTTAAGTTTTGGAAAAAAAAGCTTTATGATCGTAATCCATTTTCTTGAAATTAAACAATGCTATGTTAACCACAACTGTGCTAAATACAATGCCTACTTATTTTCACATTAAGAAAAAATATTGAATGAGGCAGAATCGGACTTCAAAGTAGTATTTCACTAGAATAATTTTATATGTGGTTTCAAACTTTGGACTCGCAGTGTATGTATTATACATGTCGGAGATGACTGCTTGAACTAATCCTTAATTTACTACAGAGGATCCGGTACGGATATTTGACCACGAGCCACAGCCGCCGCACTCTGTGCTGAAACTTTTTGTCGACTTGTTCAGTAATGATGCCATAGCAAGTCTCTTCTACACCAATGATGTGAAAGTTCTTATTGATATTATACTACGACAACTTTTCGATATGTTCCCGGGTGATAAGGTATTACATTACGCTGTGACAAAGAAAACTCATATTGGACCTATTAAAAATGTTTTAGATGTATATCTAATCTATATTTTTAATATGCAAAAACAGCGTAGGCAGTATCTGGAGCTTTGCCGCCGTGTTCTACGCACGTCCAATTATAATGAGCATCGCCATCGATCTGGAGACTTATTAAAATGTTTTACAAGGTAAGGTGGCATGCTTTATTACAATTTATTATAAATATTTTCGTATAAAATTTATTTTATTATATGTATATCTTGTATTTTATGCTAGAATATTTTGCGAGGAGACAGCAGAGAGTCACGAAGACCAACAAGTCGTACGCGAAATTAGCAACGAATTTCCGCATTTGTTCAGAATGTGACATTTAATTCCCCCGTCTGATCAAGATTTGGACGAAGATGACTTGCAAACTCTTGTTTAAGCGGATCTGAGAATTTGTCAACGGTAAAGAGGAATCAAATTCATGACAAATTTTGTTGATAGCCCTTATGGCTTTCGTATATTTCATCTAGTAAAGGGAAACGCACACAGCTTATGTTAGCTGAAGTAACGATGATATGTTTTACGACTGCCATAAATAATGTCTTCATTCTGTTGGTGCTACAAGGCGTTACTCTTTGCGTAAGTGAACTATTTAGTAGGAAGGATATATAAAATTATATATAGATATATATATATACGTAACATGAGATATAACAAAGAATTCCTTTTCATTCTTATTACGAGGACCATTGATATCTAAGAGCATTCCAACATTCGCATAGTTAAATGATATAATAATTATGTAATAGTTAATTGATAGTAATATATAAGTAAAATAATTTATACATAGAGATATATATTGAGATAAACTTTAATATATAAACACATACAGCTGATACATACATCTCTGTGTGTATTGTTAAAAGAGATGGAGAAATTATGTAAAAATTATTAGTATTGTTTCTCCATAAAGTGTAGTCTAGTCCACGTCTATACATGTCAGAACACAATATTCTAAGTCATAGGAATTATAAAAAAAAATTCTAGCTTATATCTTGTTTTCCAGAGGGATACCAATACTTTCTTTAAATATCGTTATTTTGCTAATGTTTTGATCACGACAAAAAATTTCTAGATAAAAATTCGGACTCATAAGACTTACTAGGTGCCACTGCAATCCCTAAACTTGCTAGTCTATGATTAGTGACTATATTTTTTGAAGCATGTTATCCTACGTTATGTTTGCAACTATCAACATGTCAATTATAAAGTAATCTCAAATTTAATGTGATTGTAATTGAATGTTAAATAAATAAAAAGTTTAGCTCATAACTGTCATCATATGTGTGAAACGTTGTTTTTTCTCTTTCATTCCGTTATTAATAATTTTAAATCTATCTATTCAAGTAAACTAAATTTATAATATAAATATGATTATTGGCATTTTTACAATTAGTATCTTTATTATCTAACATGAAAATTGGTAGAAGCCGTAATCTAAAAACGAAGGATTTAATTATATATTGTATATTCCAAAAGGAAAAAAAATTAGAAAGAAAAAATATAAAATGAAAAACCTAGAGAAATAAATATTAAATTATATGACTTGGCTCTCCTCTACAAATAGACTAATAAACGTTATTAAAAATTGTGTTGCGATAGCAGTACAACGCGCTTTGTGTATATTAGGCCCCCCTCGAAACAGAATGAAAAAAATTGCTCGAGTAGAGATATTTGAAAGAAAATTTTGGTCTCATGTCAGGTCAAGAAGTGGTGTAAATTTTTTGTTCGTATCATCATATAAAACACGGGGAAAGTGTGATATTTCATATTATTAAATAACAGAACATGTGAGACTTATCTTGGTTTTATTAACAATAAGTATACTGATTTCTCAATGAAAAAGTTTCCAAGCCTTATGTAAGTGTATGAAAGCAAAATTCACTGTTTCATAATAAATATGACGCTTGTATAAAAGCTGGAAATAATTCATTCCGACGTAATGCGACGTTTATGGTGGGAATTTACTTCCAAGACTAATCACGAAATGTGGAAAATATCTCTGTGCGAAAAAATTCGATGTGCATTGATTCTTTGTAAACACATGAATGATTAGTTTCAAGATGTGATTGTATGGATTGCATAAGTGTCTTTAGATCCAAAAGCAGTTCACCAATCATTCAGGATAATTATTCACCGGTCATCATCTCCATAAACTCTGAAAAGGAAAAGAAATATATATTTGCAGCAAACGTTCCTTTTGTTTATACGTTACTTTATTTTAAACTAATAAGAAACTTAGACACAATGAATTTTCTTCTTTCGCAAACACATAACAATGTCACTAAACCATATTTTGTTGTAAGACTTTTGAAGATTTTAATTACTTGTAAAAAATACAAATTAGTATTAAAACTAATTCTTTAAATAATCGATAAGTTTTCTAATCGATAAATCTCATTAAAAGAAATTAGTTTTCTGTATAAAATTTTGCTCTATTTCCTTTCGTCGGTGAATAATAAAACAGAAATGAAAAATGGGCCAACTTCCAAGTTGATTTTATCTCTTCAGAGTGAAATCAGACAGCAAAAAAATAGCTTATTACCTAACCGGACGTCTTTTATATATTGCCAAAGTTTTATAATTTTTTGAATTTCCGAGTTGAGTTTTTTCTTGTAAAATTAAGGATCTAATTTAACATCTAACTTCCTCCTAAATCTTATTAATCCAATTGTTCCTTTAAGGGTTACGGTTTCTAATTCAGAGTGGCGCACATAAAACCAGTCCAAAATGCAGTTGCAAAACACTGGAGCCGGTTTTATGTGTGCCATTCTATATTTTGGAACATTACACGCGAAATTCATCGGAAATTGGAACGGGCGTGTGATTTTGATGAATTGCTGCGATTTGTTAGGTACGAATATAAAAATAGGCAGAGTCGCGGGATCAGTGGCATCCTCGATCTGCCAACTCGCCCGGCGTATAAATAAACCGTTTGACTTTCCTCCGTTCAACTTGTGTGGCATACGTAGACACATACCGATTCTCCATAAGAATAAAACGTTGAATTTTTCAATTCAATATCTTTTCGCGTTTTTACAGGTTTCACAATTGTTTTCTTCGAAAATATTAAAGTCGGTGGTATTAAAAAGAAAATGCCTTCATAAAAAGTTATCTTCTTCGATAAAACTGTTCTAAAATTTCTTACGTGTTTTATCTCATGGTTTCGTTTCAAATTATTTTCTTGCAAGTTGCAGTCAACTTACTGGATACCATACACTTGGTTGAGAAAGAAAGAAGAGAAGTAAGAACGTACCGTCAAAATCAACTGTACCAGAACCATCAGAATCGATTTCCTCGATCATCATGTCCAATTCCTCGTTCGTCAATTGATCGTCCAATTCTCTTAAAATTTCACGTAAGCATGTCGTTGGGATGTAGCCGTTACCTGGTGGAGCAAGGTGCGTGTATAAAGAATCGCAGGCTCGAAGAATATTTAAGTAGCATATGGGACAAAAATGATATGACTCGCGTAACATTTTTCAATAAAATTGATGTAATAATACCATCGTTTTTCATCCTAGACAGCACGCATGTCTACAAGACATCGTAAAGACATCTTTAAAATGTCTTTTAGACGGGTATGTCTAAAAGATGTCTTTATGACGTCTTTGTCTTTATTGTCTAGAATGCTCGTGAAAATCTAAGAATATTGTTACAGGTGACCCTCGAATGGTGTACACCCTTGAATTGTACAGAGACTCGAATAACACGATAAAAAATTGTAACAATTCTATACCTTTTAAAAGTTTTTTCGAATAATCTCTTGGAATCAAATGCCGATTTTATATGGATTTTAAATTACACAGTTTTCAATATTACACGGAACCAATTAATTGTGTTATTTGAGGGTTACTTATATTCTGCTTCATTATTTGTATATCTCTGAGAATCTATTCTGGCACGTAGTACTCATCTCTCTTTCACTTAACACAAATAGTAATTGCAAAATTTATCCGTCCCGCGATATTTATCTCCTCGGTGCCAGCCACATTAAAATACGTACTCTACACACCCTCGATATAATCGTAATTCATGAAAGACGTGTTACGACATCCTTGGCTCACGGCCGCCACGTGAGCTTCCTTCGTTGGGAATCTCCGGCTTATTTTTACGTTCGCGTATAACGAAACCGATGCGAACTTAATGCGCCTGTTTGTACAAACGTATTCTCAGATTTCCTCGTCGCATATGTCACGCTTGTCACGCCAAGGGTCTCCTCGCTGCGAAACTGATCCGTTTTACGAAGTAAAACATCTATCGCTATATAAATCGCATTTCCATTTTAGGAACACATAAAAAATTATATATATAAGAAAGATGAGAAAAGTCGAAGGAAGATAATTTGGATTTGTAAAAAAAATAGTCGTTATTATTAAAGTAATTATTAGCCATATCTTATCGAAAAAACTCCATGAATTATCTCGCTAACTAATGAGCTGTGTCCGATAAACTCTTCACAAGCCTTATTACGAGATTCGCTATATACCTTCCTTGTCATAGAGCCTGAAGGCTTCCCGTAGCTCCTTTTCCAGCGCCTCCGCGTCTTCCTCAACAATAAATTTCGCCGCCAACGTGACGAATTCGTCAAACTCGAGCCGTCCAGATTCTGCAAGCGGAGTATTGTGAGACAGCGCAAAAATATTCAACGAATTCCACAAATAGAGTTACCGAGGCGCGTTACGGTAAATTAAATCGCACGAAATTTGACAACAACTCGGTAGAGACGCGACGCGCGTATACATATATGCATATCTGTAAACACTTCAGAAATAGAGAGATAAACAAGACATTGTTATGCTTGGTCAGTAATATTCTTTAAATAGGCCTCAAAATCCGCCGTACCCGTGTCGTAACCGTGTTGATGTCGCGCCGTTGTTAATTAATACAAAGTACGATTAATGATATTTACTATCGGCGTCGACTTCGTCGATGAGCTCGTCCAAGATCTTCTTGTTGAACGGTTGCCCCATTAGCCGAAGGATATCGGCTACCATGTCAGTGGGAATGCTGCCGGTTTTGCCACTATCGAAGCTATCGAAAGCTTTGCGCAGAACTACAAGAGATCAAATATTTTTTACATAAAAAATGCTCTCGTTATCGCAAATCCCGCGATTCGAAATCTGAAGAAGATCATAGAAGGAATATTTTTATACATATATTAGTCTCTCAAAGATAATCTACAAATAATATTCGCGAAAATTGCAACGATAACGTTAATCCATAACGTTTGTTATGTTGACAGAGGATAGCAAAAATAAGGAGACTTCTGTCAAATAATTGTCATAGAGCATTCTCTCTGTTTTTTTTTTAATTTAATATAGTCTTCTTTTAACTATTGGATGTAGCTGGCATCCGATGGCAAAAAGCTGGAAGCAGCTCTTGAAAAGAGAAACGAAAGATTCTCCTCTCTTTTCTAAACGGTTTCTTCTACAGCCAGTTTCGCTAACAATATAAGTCCTTTCGGTTAAAGACATTAAACGTCGGGGCGATACGCATTTAGACCGTATGTTAACGTACTTCCGGGACGGCTGGCGCTGAGCTTATTTGGCCTGATACGCCGCGCCGTCGGCTCGTGCCGATGGAATGCGCGACATATTTATCATTTTTTATCGCATTTATCCAATTAGGAACCGCGCGATTACACGGCTCACGCCTGCGACTACATATGTCCTCGAGTCTTACGACATTTCCCACGAATCTATTAAATTGCACTTAATTTAACTTGACTTTAACTGCACCAATTTAATGCGCGATCCAGATTTTGAGAGTTCTTGACACGTTACCGGTATCGTATTACCGTGCGATATCTTTCTACTCCATCTTCCTACAATATCTTCCTTATTTATAACTCTTAACGCAAAATTATTCGGCGATAAGCCAATTCCGGTGTAGCAATCATGAGAAATATTTGTATATGTTGTGTATATTATTATCCAATATGTAACACGTGTATTGAGGGAGAGAGTGGAGTGGAGAGTAGGATATCGCGCTAGGTATATTATCTCTTTTCCTCCATATATATAAATATAATAAATTTATCTAATATAATTTCATTATTATAATATATTATTAATATTATTGTAATATATATATTATACATACAGTATTCAAAAATATCAAAAGTATTGCATTACTTATGGAAATAAGGAAGTTGTTACTTTAATGAAGAAAGACGTATGTGTACGCATAAGTTATCAAATTTCATTTTAGTACTGTTATTTTATACTTTGATAGGAATCCTTTGGAAAAAAAAACAAGAACCTATTGATTTACTTTCTTTTTACTTAATATGTATAAAGATTTTAGAATGTTGGTTCGATCGTTGCATTTACGTGGTCAATTAATCCCGTTATCAGCGAAGCGTGAAAAAATTACGTCTTCGGTATAATTTTGGTTATACGCTCCGTATCTCGTTCGTGGGCTATATTCGTAACTCACGGGAGTTAAGTCTCGAATATTCCGCGTATTACTGCGTCTCGATTCAGCGGCGGTAGGCTGCGCGCGATTCCAGGCGTTCGTCTTAAAACCTCCGAGAGCGCGAATGTGTCCGGCGATCGCAAACGGTTGGAAAAACGTACGAGGCCTATCTCTCCTTCCTCCCGGGGATATACTTCTTCTCCTATCCTCATCGCGCTTTTTCCCTTCTATTTTCATTTCAATTTATATTCGTAGAATCGATCGTCGTCATCGTCGTCAGGCGAGGATGCTGCTCTTTCGTTTCGTTCTGCGTAGCTATACATAGCCGCGCTCTCCGCAGCTGCCCCCGATCGGATCAAACTCGGCGTAAATAAACTCGGCGAAAGCAATGAAAATTTATCCGTGCTCGATTGCCGCATTCAGTATGTAAAGGGATTCTATTTTTAATCCCGAGTAGAAACCACGTTCCCGTCGCGATGTCAAAAATGCTTCTGTACCAGCATGATGTCTTCTTCATCGCGGATATATGGCAATTGAAATATATGTAAATACATATTTAGCAATTGTAGCCTACGTCTCATCATATTTCAACGGATATCGAAACTGGCCGTATTATTAAATCGCAGAGATTTATCTTTTAACATGGACTTATCGAGAAGACGTTAATAACGATATCGCGATAGAATTCTCAGTGGGTATCTTTAAGGTTTTTAATTCTAAACGATACATATATGGAAGAGCCCGAGTATAGCTTTATGTCTGTTCTTGGCTACTGCGCTCTACCTTTGTTTATTCCCTGGATTTTCTTGGAATATATATATGAATATCTATTTTTATGTTACAGCAATTGGCAACAAAATCAATAGCTCCGATTACTTTCGCAGTCGCTTCGTTGACTGCCTTTGTAAATAGGACAATTTATATGGAAATTTAAGGGAGATTGTTAGAAATAGTTAAAGAGAGTGTATAATCTAACAAAACTTGGGTAAAGTCACTTCATATTTTTTGCCATTGCTTATTAATTTATATTGGAATTATTGATACGACTTTATTGAAAATTTTTCTAGAAATTAACAGTATTTTAAACTGAGATACATACCGGCAATTTGTTCCGGCGGCAGCTCGTCAGCCTGCAAATCGCAAGTTACGATAAAGATGCGAGTTACAATTATCAATAATGATAAAAGGTATTTTTCTAGATCTGTCTATGTCAAACATCGAAAATCTTTATCAGGCTTATCAATCAATAACTATTACACACAAATTAGTAAAGATTTTAAGTGAATTTATTTCCATATCGAACATCGAAAATCTTTATCATTCTTCTATTAATTGTAACCATTAGACACAAATTGTTAAAGGTTTTAAGTGAATTTATCGCGTCTAATTAAAAGTTGCTAGTTATTTTTGGAAGAAACATTCGTGCACTGTTAAAATTCATTAAACAAGTTCTATTTTTCAAAATCTCCGTTAAACCATCGAATTTCTTCAAATTATGAATACAAATTATTTGTTTTGTGATTGCAGATTATAATAGAAATATTTTATGCAAGATAAAATTTTCATGCGTGCAATTCCGAACTACATGTGGACTAAACAATTGAAACTCTTCGATAAAATGAAATATAATTATATACTTCAGATTTATAAAAACTATAGAATTAATATTAACCAAACATTAAGTTTAGTTAATTAAATTTTTTAAATTTATTTTTTATGCAAATATATACGAGTATAATTGAAAATAGTAAATACCGTAATTTAATTAATTTTTTACATAAATGAATTAAATAATAATATTCACTATTTTTAATAATTTTACAATGACAATGCAATTCATTATTGAAGAATCATTGTTCCATTTATCGAAAAGTCTTAATTACTCTATTCAACTACATCCGTTACAATTAATGAATCAAAACAGACTTTCTCGAACCGCCGCTTCAAACGATCCGCCGTAACTTTGTTGCAACATATCAGCAAGGAACGCAGGAAGAATACACTACTCTCGTTTTTTTGCTCAATATTATATTTATACGTAAATATATTCGGAGTAATGAAATACATCTTCCTTCTGGAGAAAAAAATGACGGATTTGTTTTAAAGAAGCGGCCGAGTAAACTCGCCGTTTAAGAAACAATCACGTTTTTCCAGAATCTCATTCATCATGGTACCAAGATACATCTCTCTCAGCCAGAAGTGGCCGATCGGTTAGACACATTTTATCTAGGCGCGCTAGAAAATCCGAGCACGATATACACTGTTAATCGCTACTGAATCACGATGCATAAAAAATAAAACAGAATAGGTGCACAAACGAGATTTAGAGACAGATTAGAAAAGAGTGATTTACAATTAAATGCCCAGGTGGCACGTGCAAATAATTTTCGATGATATTAAAAAATATAGAAAGATAGGTAGATAGAAAGGAGAGGTAAAAAAATAAAAAAATAAATGAGAGAGAGACAGAGACTCGACGGTTAAAAAATACAACAAATAACTACGTAAGTATAGACAATAGGAAAACGTGTGTGTTTACCAGGGCGACGACTTACAATATCATCGATAGAACATACCATGGTGGCGGCGCGAAATTCGACTGTTTTTTCTTTTCTCTTTCTTTTTTTTTTACTCTACTTAAGACACCGAGGTGTGTATTATTCGACCGGTCTCGACCCGGGTCTTCGCAGGAGCGCGCACGGCGTTAAGTCACGTCCGAAGAGGATTTTTGCAAAACGGAAAACGGCGGGACTCACAAAACCGTGCCCTCTGAAAACTTCTCGTCGCCTCGATTTGACGCACTGCTGCGAGGCGACGCGGCGCCGGGATAATATTCGAATGGGACGATATAGCGGTTGCGTGACCGATCGCGGACCGCGCCCCGGACCCCGGCTCCAGCCAATCGTCGAGGGCGTGTTCGGGTGCTTCTTTAGCGGGATCTCGAGGCTACCTCCGGGAAGGCGCTTGCGCTATTTCTGGGACGCGGTGTGTGTGTGTCAGCGAGACGGTCTCGAGGCGGCGGCGGCTCCTCCTCGTCTCGCGTTCACCCGCGGGATCCGGTGACCGCCGCCGCCGCGCCGGCGAGGAGACGCTGACGTAGCGGCTGCCCGACGGATCAGACCGTGTTGTTCGAATCGAATATTATTTTTAATCCCGGGAACCCCGCGCTCTTCCCGACGTAGACATGAGAGTATAAATGACTATAAAAGAGAAAGGAGAGAGGCTGTTGCGAGAGATCAAACTCGGAAAGATTGAGATTTGAAGGAAGAATGGGCGATTAAAAGTTTCAACTTCGAGAAAATGACATTTGATCGAAGATAGGGTATAATATATTGATTAAAAAAAGAAATAAGTATAAGGCAAAGATGAAATGGAGATAAAGCCTCGATGGTTATGTTCAAGATAATAAATTGCCGTCGTAAACCGTTGGTATTTGAGACACAAACGCAGTGCTCTAAACATGTTTTTATTAGATTCTCGCATTCGTGCGATTACAAGCGTTCCTTCGCGCGAACGTGGCGTTATACCGCAGCGGTACGAAAATAGAGAATGAAAATCCCGCGGTTGGAGTAAGCGACAGTAAAATGTCGGTGCGTATGGTGCACCGGACGAATCGATGTCGGACTCGCTATTTAGAATCGAGACAAAAGACCTTCGCAACAATAGAAGCGAAAGCAATTCGGACGGCGCGGCGTGGGGAAACAGCCGCAACGAGTTAAATCGTTCTCGCAAAAACAATAACGTGATAACGAATTCTTGAAGCCGGAGAATATGCAATCATTTCGCAAACGATATTAATTGCAATATTTTACTTCCTTATAACAAAAAAAATTATGCTTTTGAGTCAGTTTCAAGCATTAACGTTAATGTTCAAAAATTTCGGCTAATGTTCCACTTGCAAAAGGAATAATCATGCATTAATAACATAAACAATCGTTTTGTGAAGTATTGATTGAAATATTTTACTTGCTTTGAAGAAAAAATAACAAATAAAAATCTGAATATATAATTATAAAGTGCGTTTGCAACCTCAAAAGTCTAGTTCAAAACACAAAAAGTTTAAAACATTTTTGTATATCTATCGTTTCGTACGCTTGGAAACATAAAAGTTAATTTTTTTCACTCCCTTAACATTTACGGAGGGAAAATAACATGTCTATTATTTCGGTTTATACTATAAACATATTCAAAAGTTCATCAAAATCGGGGAAAGAATATATGTTTCATTATATTTTCTTATAAGTCGCTTTTGAGCATTAAAGCTAGCATTTGAAGATCAATCAATTAATATCTTACGATTAAACAAAAAATACATTAACATGAATAGAATACGCGTTTCTGTATCTTTGCGTATGTACATGTGCCAGGCAGATCTTTCCGGACATCTCGACACATAGCGAGAGGATGAAGGATGAGACGCAAGGGCACGAATGGACGTTTGCCAGACGCCAAAACCTCTACGCGGACAGTGCTCTGTGCGCGAAAACAATAAACAACCGTCCTATATCTGAAATAAACCGAAGAACGAGCATTTATCGTCTTTTTTTGAGGATATGCTACAAGTCATGACAGATCGAAAGTTATGCGTTATAATCGCGCCAATACACTCGGAGTATTATTCGTTTCTCGAGACGAAAACACAATGTTTATTTGCTGCGAAAATGATATGTTGTGCATTTCGATACGTTTAGTCACTTTAGTCATCTAGATCTCACTATTGCATGAGTACGCGACGTTGGCAAACCAGAATCCGCTCTCTTTTGCGGAATTCCAAACGACCTATGTACACTGTACCTAAACTTGTAGTAAGATTCAAAAGTTTCAAGTCACAGATATAAAAAAAAATTTATTTTTTAGAACAATGAATTAATTGTTCTATCACTAAAGAAATGTTCTAAATTTTTGTTCTTAAAATGGTTTAACGATAAGGAAAAAATTATTTCTAAAAATTATTTATTATTTTTCAAAATTAAAGTCCAATTTGCGTGGAAAAAATTTACTAGTGATGAAGAAGTGACCTCCTCACAATCAGTGTTAAACCATTTTAAGAACAAAAATGCACAATATTTTTTTAGTGGTATAGAAAGATTAATTCATCGTTTAAAAAAATATATATTTTTTATCTATAATCTTTTTATTTGTCCAACAAGAAATTGATAACTCCATCCATAACGAAATAATATACATGTTACTTGACAAGTTAAGCCGAATGATCGATATTGCCCTATAGTTGTCTATAGACGGATCTACGAGAGCCAAGTGTGATTACATTAAATGTAATTAATTTGAGGAGTATCCATTTAATGGATATTCAGTAGATAGATTGGCAATAGATTCGGTATTACTGATGGAAATGTTTTCGATTTTATCAGGCGCTCGTTCTTGGACGCGAACTCGTGGTCGAGATATTTGCGCTTCCAACAAGTTAGGTCATTCCAGTTTCAGATCGTCGCTTTATTAGTTTTTGAATGTGACATCGCGACATAAATCAGCCTCCTGGCACGTCTCGGCCTTGCGACACCTGTTTTCCTCGCGTAATCGCTGAGATGCTGATCCGATTAACATACTCGCGCTCACGTGCGGCTTTTAGTTATACGAAATGATAAATCGCGCTTTTTCGTCCTCGATCAAGGTTTCATTTTCTTTTAGCTTATGACTTACTGCTCTATTACTTTTTATTAATAAAATCATATATTTTGAAAATTAAATAAAATGTCTTGATCGATGAATTGCTTTTGATAAAAATTTGTTGGTTTACCTAATCATCGAGAAGGTATCAAGATTCGATCAACCTCTGATTAATTTAATCGGCTAATTTGTCAAGTAATACTTTTGTATTCTTTCATTATTGTTAACATATATAAACGGAATTATTAATTTTTTATTGTTTAACGTATATAGAGATTGGATTAAAAAGATTAAATTAGAGACACCGAATTATATATTATTCAATTTTTTTGTTGCTTGCAACATTGTCGGTTGAATTAATCGCCGATTAACACTTTACCGACCGTTCAAGTAGATCTACCCGTTTCATTATCTATTTTACTATTACAAATGACTAATGACTATTTCTATTAATGTAGATTAAATTAAATTAATTAATTAGAATTAAATTTATAATTAGAAAAAAATAAAAAGTAATTTCAAACCGAGATTAAAGTTAATCTACATTAATTGGTAGAAATGAACATGAAAAGGTAAATCTACCTGTTTTACTTTTAATTAATTTGAAGCAATATAAAAAGAAAGAAACGAGAAAGAGAAATGGAATTTTCAAGAGCGATGCGAATCGCAAAAATGTTGCAGTATTCAATGGTTATTATTAGTAACTCGCACAGTTGGCAAAGAGTTAATCGAAGTTTAGTCGAAGTTACCCTAGATAGAAGATTGTTCTTTAATAACACTTCTCTTGTCGGTGATTTAATAAAGAAAAAGTAAAGAACAATGCAACATCGACTAGGCGACAATCGAGATATCAATTTCAAAGAAAGAGCGATAGGTCGATTAATCGATTCGTCATCTTGCGGCATGTTCTTTATCAGTATTTATCACTGCATTGAACTACACTTGAAACTTTCCTTCTCGCTTTCGCTAAACTTCAAATAGATATCTATTTCATTTTTTTTTTTATACAACGAGTGTACATTAGTGCAGGTGTAGATAAAGAACAGATCTACTGACGTCGGTTAGCAGTATTTTGACGTTCGTGTCGATATTTCGTTTACACGTCCTGGTATTTCATCGTGTTCACGACTTCACGCGGCTGTAGATCACAGGTTGTCCGCGATTCGCAACAATCGCAACGTCTCAAACAGCGTCTGTTGTGACAACAACGGGAGAGATGCCTGGAACCCCGATGGAGCGGGACGGCAACGTGTTGGAGAAGCTGCAGAACGAACGAGCGCAGGACGAACCGAAGTGCGAGTCCGTCGTGCGGGAGATAACGCAGACTGATCGGCTGAATAAGAAGCTGCTCGTGTCGGTCTTGGAGCGGATGAAAAAGTCGGACGGGCAGTTCGACAAGTTTATGGAGGACGGGAAGGGTAGCTGTGAGTCGCAGGACGACAGCGAGTTTTAGGAGACTGCGTCTCTGAACGCCTAAGTAAGCCCCTAACCTATAATTTCAAATTCGTTCATTTAGATTCAATACAGCTCGATATGAGAAACTGTCTTTCGCCTCGATTTTGTCGTGATAAAAAAAGAACTATTGGCCCAAAATTATTATTTTTCAAGTTTCCGGGATAGGATTACTCTCATCATCGTCTCCAACTGATTGTTACAATTTTTTTTACACGAAACTTCTGTCCTTTCTTGGTCAGAGCTATACATTAACCTTTCTCAGACGGTCTTATTGATTTTTCTTATTAATTTGTACACTATTCTCAATGCATCCAAAATTAGGGTCAGATTAGGTTAATTGTTTAAAGCAGTGCTGTCCAAGATTTGTAATTCTGAGTGCTGGCTTGATGTGATGTACCTATGCTTTCCTTTTTCTTTAATGGAAGTAGGAAAAGGAAGACAACAGACATAAACGCCAACACACTTCAATTCAATATTCAGAATTACAAATCTTGGACAACACTAATTTAAAGAATATATTGCAAATCTAGGATTTTCCTCAGTTTGATAACTACAATTATCTCTAAATGAGTAAATATTTTTTCAGGAATCTGCCTAAGCAGTGGTCAAACTGAATCAACAGACACTTCATACCATCATGGCGGATGTTCCGGATTACGAGGGTGACGACGATATCATAGAGCATTACGAGAATCAAGACTCTAACAACGAGCGTGACAGCCACGGGGAAGCGGGGGATGGGACTTCCGACAATGAGACGGGAACTGGGCGGAGAGTCGATCCATCAAAATCCAAGTCACACGTAGTGAGAAATCCTGTGCCCAAACTTAATACAGAAAGATTGAAAGGCCCGAATGGTATCCAAACCATCGAAAAGTACTTCGAAGGCTTCAAGTTCAACGGCAAGGGACACGAAAGAACGGACCTTGACAGAATCATGAAGAGATTGGAACACTGGTCCTACCGATTGTTTCCTAAGTATCATTTCGATGATTTTCTCACGAGAGTCGAGCAACTGGGGACGAAGAAAGATCTGCAAGTGTTTATCAAGAAATATCGGCTGGATATGATTTTATCGGATGATAATTTGATCACCCACGATGATGACATGGATAAAGATGATGAGGATCAACAGGAAAGCGCTCCTCTGGACGACTTTGATTTGCTGATAACAGAACAAATTCAAAAACAAAAGCAGGCTGAAACGCGAGCTTCCGTTCCTGGTCCGAGCACTTCATGCGAGGATGCGTTCGACAACCTTTTAATGCAATCCACTGATACGCAAAATTCACAAGTACATACAAATACTACTATTGCTAACGAATTGAGTGACGAAGTAAAACAAAGAATTGAGAGAAACAAGCAACTGGCTATTCAAAGAAGACTCCAAAAGCAGAAAGAGCAGGAGGCAGAAGCTAAGAGATCAAGGTTGATCGATGATACGAATATGGACACTCTAAACGAAGACGGTAATCTTACAGTCCATGACGAGACGGATTCATCCCAGATAGACAATATGCGACTACAAATAAATGAAAATGCAAATACGATCATTACTGAGTCAAATGATACGGTGTCAAATGAAGAGCCGGTAGCAAACCATGAGTAAAATAAATCTTGTAGCAGTGTATTAAGTTTTCGCTATCCACAAAAGACATCGTATAGAAGCATCGCATTTATTATATGGTATAAAAATTGTCTCATCTGGAATTATTATATGCTTAGAAGTACAAGTTGTTAAAGATACATGTAAAGATGAATTTTTTTTTTTTAGATGCTTATTAAATAAACATTTAGTTTTTATTTACTTATATATCACGATTAATTCCTACGCTTTTGGGTACTGATGTACAGAACATTGTTCCCCCGTATAAAGGCATCCCCATATTTATCCTTTAATTGTCCGTTAACGTACTCCTCTGTTTGTTCAAGTGCGATATTCATGTAACCATCTATACAAGCCAATACACCTGCAAATATTACATTGCATTAGACTATATCAAACGTTTTTCTTTTTAAAGAAAACTTTAAAATTCAAAATTTGTAATATTCACTAATGCCCATTTCTACCAATGTAGATTAACTTCTAATCTCGGTTTAACTTGCTTTCTATCTTTTTCTAACTTTTAGAACTACGAAAAGATGACAAGTAAGTTAAACCAAGATCAAAATTAAACTGCGTTGATAGAAATGGACAAATTGAATTTTTAAGACGTTCAACTGATACAGATAAAAACAATTGATTCTATCGGAAAAGTCTTGATTTTTTGATGGCCTAGTTTACACCAATCACTTGATACGCGTATTAAATAATAAATAACTAATAAGGGCCAATTTCACCAACTACGGTTAGCTTAACCGACGGTTACAGTTAACAGGATTGACCAATAGAAATGAATCCACCCTACTAACTTTAACCGTCGGTTAAGCTAATCGTGGTTGGTGAAATTGGCTCTTAAATTAGTTTGATTATTGGCTGATCAGCTCAAATATACTATTCTATACGCGTATCAAAAGATCGGTGTAAACTAGGCCAATATAGACAACTTAGTGAATGTTAATACATCAATGTTATGGCTCGTCTACACTAGCCGCAAGAGTATGCAGTAAAATGTAAGCAGTAAGCTATTGACTATGGGATTTTTACAATTCAAGAATAATTGACTGTGGTTGATCAATAGCTTACTGGTTACGTCTTATTGCATCTATTCTTACTGCTATTGTAGATGAGCCAATATAGATAAATGTTGATATATGTCAACATTATATGGGTAAACATCTACCTCTGTAATCGACACCGCTGTTCAATTTTACGACGACAGGTCGTCCATGAATTTGTTGTATAAACTGAGACAATGCTTCCTTTCGGCTCATCTGTCATATGTAAAAACGACATTTAATACATTAAAGAAATTACGCAGTAGAAAAGAGTGAATGGTTGCACTTAAATCGTCACGTTATTTTCATGTCATGATAATTTTAATCATTTTTAGTAAACGAAAGATGAGCACGATTGTCACATTCCACGTACCTTTGTAAATAATACGGATAATCGCTTTCTTCGTGGATAGTCTCGATTCTAAACAATCTTAACCTAAATCTCTCCGCGACAGTCGTGACACACGGAAAACGCAAGCGGCAAGCAAGCGCCGGCAAAACAGCTAACTTGCTGGCTGAGCGATCGAACATGATTGGCTCTTATCCGCGGAGCCAACCAATCACATTCAACTCGGCAAGCAGACTTATGACGTGATTTTAGCCGAGAAATTGCGGCGATTTGAAATAATTAAAAAAAGTGCTCAGAATAAAGATAAAATTTTATTTTCCAACAATAAATTGTTAGGCAAAAAGCTGCAAGAATAGAAGAATTCAAAGTAAAAAAATAAGAATCAATTAGAATGGAAACGAGACCGTACTCCAAGAATTTAACGTCGCCGTCATCTTATTGATCATATTTGTTACCCAATAATTTTTCACTCTCCCTTCCCTTCAACCCTCAATCCTGCGAAAATATGCTTCAACTATATTCAATTAATGTACGAAAATTTATTGATGTGATCATCGACGAAGTACTATCAGGATTGCTTCCATTTAGGATTTAATTAATTTAATTAGCGATCGACCAACTAATTATAAATCGAATTATTTGTTTTCTGTTATTCGAAAGGAAGATTAAATTAGAAATAATAAATTACATAGCTAGAAATTTTACTGTGAACGATTCTGCTTGGATTAATCGTCGATTAAGTTATTCAGAATTTGATCAAAGTTTTTAAAATTAAAATTTGATTAAATAAATGACTTTTATATAAATAAAATGCATAATTAATTAAATACGGCGGATAAGTACGCTGCATTGTTTTACAACTCAATTGTTTCACTTCTATTTATTTGATTTATTAAATCAATGCAAAGGAAAAATCTCTATGAGAAATCTTGACTAGAATTATTATTTATGTCACGATGAAAGAAAGTAAAAGTTGATAGAGTCGGAATGAGATGCGTAGAAATTTAATTAAATGAAATATATATACCATCTCGAGAATATCGTTTGACTCATCGATCAGGTAAGATCATCATGTATATACATAAAAAGTGTATGTACAAAAGGCCATTATGAATTATTCATGATAGAATGATTATAGATACAGGATTTAATATATCTAGGGTTACATATATATCGTCATCCATAGCTGTATCAAAAAATTCCTCGCCGATGTGATTAAAAGTGTGTCGCGAAGGAAAAAAAGTAAATGCGTTTCTTCTAAAATCGCACACTGTGTTGAGCGAATTAATATAGTGATTAACGTCATCAAAATTTTTTTAAACGCTTGTAAAAAATAAATACCATCTAATTAATGCTAAAATGTCAGCCATGAGTTTTTGTAACGTACTGTCACGTGTATGAGCTATCAGAAAAAAAATTTGTTGCAATAATTCCATTTTAAAAAGCGCCTCTTTCTTTTTCTTGCTAATAAATCTGCAAGAGCACGAAATGCGATGCAGTAGCCTCGTTTATGGAAAAATTTTGTAAGCAAAACGAATAAAATATTCGGGGAATAAGCAACACAGGGAATGTTTTATAATTTTTAAGTATCTTGGCGGCGATGGTTCATCGTCTTTTATGGTATGCACGATCACCGCGCTGCGAGAACGATCGCGAAGAAATTTTTACAAACAACACAATTACGTTAATTTTCTACAAAATAGAGATGAGGAATAAAAAAGCACACGTACAAATAAATTTGAACGTGCTTACGTGACGAATTATGTGAACGAGCGAATTACGTGCCTGTTGTTTAACGAAAAACGAAATTGTATTCGTGGATGCACATTTCAGCTTGTTCGCACTCGAATATATTCATACGCATTTTTCGAAGCAAGCTCGTTTGCGATCGCGACAGGCAAAGTGAGAACGCCAAACGCGCGATCGTTCTCTTCAATCACTCTTTTTGATTATTAATTCCCACGCTTAAACAAGAGTTTCAAGCATCCGGCTTCCACGCGATTCACTTATTCGAAGTAGAAATCGAAACGAAAGCAAAAGACGTTTTCGAGGTTATACCGTCTCACTGTGACACGCGGGACAATAATTCTATTAAAATTCGGATATATCGCGCTTCAAAATACTTATTTCTCAAAGAAAATTCACTCACCGATCGCCGGAGCACTGCAGTAGATCCGCCAAATCACAGCCGAAAGAAAGACGGGAGACACACACGTACGGAGTCGAGCACGGCATTCGGTATCCATTTCGCCCAGCGACAGCATCCCACTCATTTCACTCGACACAAGAAGGAACGGAATATTCGGCGTACGTTCACTTTGCAACACTCCGCAACCGGATTTCTTTTCATTCACGAGAAAAGAATTACACGAGTGACAACGTCTCGCGCGATCCGACCGTTGAACGTGTCACGTATTACTTACGCCGCTACCGCCGCCAGCCATCAGAGCCGCCGCACAGTAGGGAGAGACTCGAACGCGATTGGCTCGTGAGTCGAGCCCCCAGATCTGGCCAATCACGTCCCGCCGCTCCGCGCCGCCGGCGCCGGCGCGGCGACTCGATGCGGCGGCGTACTACGCACCGCACAGTCATCCGTACTAACGGCGACATCGGCGTGTTTTCGCCTTTTTTCGGCGTTGTTTCTGACGATGAGCGAACTCGCCACTTGCTCCCGTCAACGCTCGGAGTAGTGTTATTTGCGTAAGTCAATCAGTTATTTTCCCGAGGAATTTCGCACAGGTAGAAAGTGCTTGTGCTCCGCGCGCGCCCGTCAGTTTCGTCACCCGTCACTGTGCTTCGTGCTGTTTTCTGAACGAGCTTGTTTCAGTGATTGGTATTCCTGCTTCCTCGTTTCGCGGGCCGCGGGAAAAATCGCTACGCGAGTACCGCGCGCCGTGCGTGTTCAACAATTTACGAGTGTATGTATGTATGTACGTATCAAGTGTTTTGTCGAAATGAACGTGTCGCGCGAATCGCTCACTCGAGACGTCGAAACGGAGACAGAGACGTCGAGGCAAAGGTATGTATGATATTCGTGGGTGATAGTCGTTCGTCCCGCGCCGCCATGTCTGGTCACTCGCGTGGCATTATTCATTTATCTCGTAACGTGTCGTGCTTTGAACGCTGTGCCGGAATTGTCGTGTGATTTATCGTGTCGTCCGATTCTCTCCGTAGGGAAAAAGAGAGCTGATAGTGATATCGTCGTATCGAGTAATTCGAATAACGGAATACCGTGATATACATCGATCGCCCGTTCGTGAATGCTTCATAATCTCGATTCTCATATATCTCGTCGCGTAAGTTTTAGCGGCCGGCAGTCACGGCCGTATCTTTGATTCACAAAGGCGTGTCTTTATTAAACCGCCCGTTCGACTTGTGTAGTATCGCGCCAAGTTGCCGACATCTCGGGACATTTCGTCGCCCATTAACGTAACGCGCCGCCGGTAACGCGGTAATGAACGCGGAACAAAACGGGGCAATCGGCGCGGCGTCGCGACTCCTTAAAATTTGCACGAACAATTTATATGTTATACCTACTGCTTTTATATATTACAGAGTAAAGTACTTCCTTCCCATGGGTACGACCTTGGCGAGGTGGGAAAGCCCAGTACCCATAGTACGAGGATTTTACCCAAGCAAAACTCTTGTTCTGCTTGGATAAAAATCTAAAGACGGGGAAACTAACGTACCCTCCGTCCGCCGATTTAATTGAATGAACGAACCGTAGCCGGTTCGTCGCGTTTGCTTCGGGAGTGCCGTTCAAGTAATCGGACTAAAGGACTTTTTTAAACGGGAGTGCCGTAAAATATCGCGCGAGAAAGACTTTTACTGAAATTAGTCCGCGCGCGATTGTTTATTATCCGCGAGTGTTTCTCGCGAGTGTCCTGTGCGGTGAGAGGTGGAGGCCTGACGTCCTGAGAGGAGGAGGAGGTCCGAGAGAGGCATCGGGCATCGACGGAGCAACCTTGGGGTGAGTGTCATCTCTTATCTGATAAAAATTAATAGTTCTTTTTTATTTATTCGAATTGTTATCTCGATAAATTAGAAATAATTACAAAAAAAGAAATTATTCAAAATTTTATTCTTATAAAGATCTTTTTCGGTAAATAACTAAATTATTGCTGAATATCTCATTAAAAGACGAATTAGAGACGCGTAAAAATTATCTTTTGAAATGTTGATTATTTTGAGCGTTTTTAAAATTTGAATCTTATGTTTCTATGTTACAGTATCATCGTAGCTACGTGGCTGCATAACTCCGTTCGTTGCGCATCGAATTGGTGAGTCAAAAATTTTTTTTATTGAGGTAACGAATTTACGATTATATATAATCAAATATAGAGCCATTGTATCTCATGTCGAATTACGACAATAAATTACGCTATAAAAATATTACATCAGTCACGCTATCTCAAAATTTACAAGTAGATTTGTTGCCTTAAAATGGATGGGCTAAAACTAATTACGGAAAAATATTTAATCTTGGTATCATTTGTTTATTGATTTACTGTGCGATTGTGCTTGAGGAAATACTCGCACACTTCGCACGCACGCAGCTATCAAAGAACTTATTATCGTTCGAATTATATTGACAAACTGCCGCGTTTTGTAGGTAACTTTTAAATAAAATTTTTAAGTACATTAAATTTTGAAATTTTTGTTACGTAGATTAATTCTGCTTACAATTAGATTGATAAATATTTTAGAAACACAAGAGAAACAAGAAATAAAATAATATTCTGACACGTAGTACAAAGTATTGAATTTTGAAATATCTAATTTGTATTTAGATTCCTTTAAAGAATTATTTTTGACATTATTTTTCTTGAACAAAAGAGATAAGAATAAGATATCGTGTTATAAAAGAAATATCTGTAGATAGGGAAAAATTATGAATTAGTTAGGATGTGTTTTATATATTATACCTTTTATTTGTTTCTTTCCATATATGTTCAGCCAAGATTAAATATTATATAAATCGATGCAAGAAAGCAACATATAGATATATTTAGAATATCGGTATGCATTAAAAAAGCGTACAATATGCATAAATATAAATACATATGCATAAAAAGGGCAAGAAATATTTTGGTCTTATCATGCAAGTTATTTTGTTATTAATTAATTAACTAAAAT